ATGTGCTTGGGCACACAGGAGCGAGAGATGACAATGTCACTGTTGGAGTGACAAAGACAACACACAAAATCTGAGCAAAAGGAAGAAACAGCAAGGACTTGAAGACAAAGAGCACATTCAGAGTTTTCTACGGGCTCCTCTTTCATGTGGTTTATTGAATTTAACAAACAGTTCAGCCCTTCAGTAACAATTAAAGAAACACATGACTAAGAAGAGGTCAGGTGAGGACACATACCTTGGCACGGGCTTCTGCAGGTTGAGTTTGGTGTAAGAAATGCTCCACTTCCCTGGTTGATGTCCCTCCAGGAAGCGCTTTGCACTCAGCACTGTGTTCTGTACACACACATACACAGGGTCAATCATTCTTTCCTTTAACGTGTGAATTAAGGAAATCTTAAACAATGCAATTTCAATTATTTTAACCTTACATCCTGTGTTCTCACAACATAAATGAAAATAAGAAAATCTAAGATCATTTAGCTGCAATAAAAATGATCTAATCGTGTATTAAAATGATAAGAAGCACTTAAAAGATAAGGCTGGTTGAATAAATACTATAACATATACAAAAGAACCAGACAATTTAAGGAAACTCAGCTTTAATTAATGGCCACATAGCATTTATTTCAGGATTAACTCTCCAAATGAACCTTACCGCCATCAGCATGGCAACAGTCATGGGTCCTACACCGCCAGGCACAGGGGTGATGAAGCCAGCCTGCTCCCGAGCTGAGGCGTAGTGGACGTCACCCACCACCCGCTTCCCACTGGCTTTAGTCTCATCTGAAAGAGACAGAGAGAAGTGTTAAATAAATACCACACGATTACCACCAGCATCTACTGATTCACTTAAAGAAAACTCCACGGTGCCATGACTCAAGCAGAAGAAAAAGAAAAGCCTCAGAAATAGTCAGACCTGGAATGTGGTTGATGCCACAGTCGATGACCACCGCTCCCTTCTTGATCCACTCTCCTTTCACCATCTCTGCTTTACCGATGCCGACAACCAAGATGTCTGCCTTTCCCACCTGGACATGAACAGTGATAGACACGAATGAATCAATGCATAAATTAATAACACTGTGCAACACTGATTCTGGCCGTTGGTTATTATACAACTTCTTTTTAGCTAAAGTCTAACTGATGCTCTGCTAGCACTGCTGTGAGACACACAACCGCTGATGGGTATTATGATGATATATGGGACTGTTCCTCTAGGTGGGGTGATGGTAACGCTGTTGTACCTCTCCAGCGAGATCAACAGTTTTAGAGTGGCAGGTGGTGACGGTGGCGTGGCTCCACAGCAGCAGGTCATGCATCGGCGCACCCACAATCTTACTGCGACCGATCACTACCGCTCTCTTCCCTGCCACAGACACACCTGCAGGGAAGCATTTAATCCATTGATTCATTCAGACCATGTGCAATTCTTGTTCTTTCTTTTAGGGTGTTATTTTCTGAATTTACCAGTCTGTCTGATCAGCTCCATGCAGCCATTTGGTGTGCAGGGGATAAAGCAGTCGCCCAGGTCCCCACGAGACAGCTTCCCTGCATTTATGCTGGTTAGCCTGCAAATGGACCGAAACACACAAGAATACATTAAATATCTTAAACTAACAATGTCTACAGATCTAAAGGTATCCAAGCTACGAAACACACGACCTTGTTCCAAATAGATAGAAAAAAATCCTTAAAGATGATCTTTAGTTTACGTGTGCTCTTACCCGTCGACATCCTTCTCTGGGGCCACAGCGTTGGTGACCTTCTCTGTGTCGATCTTGTGAACTGAGTCTAAGGGCAGCTGCACGATGAGGCCGTGGACAGACGAGTTCTCATTCACCTCTGTGATACTGTGAAGAATCTACAGAGAGACAGATGCCTTTACACTCCCTGAGCTGTATTAAGCACTGAAACAAAATCAGGGGATGGATGTTTAACTGTATAAACCTGTCCTCACCTCCTCTTCTGTTGCCGTCTTGGGAAGTCTCATATGTGTGGCATGAATACCAATCTGCATTAAAAAGAGAGGTTTAAGCCTAAAGCTGGGATTGACTGCTACAACGTACAGCACAATTATAGTTTACATATTGCATGTAAATGTCTTCTATACCAAAAAATAATTACCTCTGTTGCTGCCTTCAACTTCATGCTGATGTACAAATTTGAATCATCACGGTCTCCAACCTGCAAAAATGTGTGGCATCACTTTGCCTGTCTGTATGAAGGAACGGGCCTTCTGCCATAAAGATGGAGCAATGACCCATGATTAATCCCATCATGCACTTACCTGCAAGACCACCAGACCAGGTCTGAAGTTGGGGTCTTGAAGCTTCATCTGCTCCACATCCTTCTTCAGACGCTCCCTCACCTGCCTGAGAACACAAAACAATGGAATAAAACCTTACCGAGTTGTTTATCTCTGTGGATGCAGTATTATAAAAAGGGATGGGTTAGGACCGCATAGCACTAAAGCCACAAACATAAACCCATTTCCTTTCCTTCCAATGGTTACAATACATGCCATCTGGTTATCTCATTGTGAATCTGGTTATCATTTTCCCCTCACCAGCCATGAATCCTGGCACATGCAAAACCAGGACATCAGATAGACACTTCAAGAGATGTGTGTTATCTTTGCCTTTGTTTTGTCTTTATTCTTTTAATGGCATGGAGGCCGGGGCACATTCCAATACTTTGTCTCAGCTGTGGCTTATCACATCACTCAACACAAAGTCAACTGAACCAATCAAAGGCAAAACCAGGCAACAGTGATACAAAGTTAACTGGACTTTAGGAATTAATTCATAGGAATTATAAACATTTTAAGATGTCATGTCTGTCAACCCTTGGAATACTATTCATACAATCAATCACACTACTAATCTGCTTTATTTATCTCATCCACTGAGGATGAGAATGACAACAGAGTCACACAGAAAGCTCTAATGATAGACTGACCTTTGTGCATCACATGAACTTCATTTGCAGAGATGATGAAATGCACTATGTGAGTGATTATAAATGCGTGACACAATGGAGTGACACCAATTTGAACTTCCTTTTAAGTAATGTTTTTGCCCCAGTGACCTTTCAAGGAATTGTGTTTTATACTCAAACAGTTTTTTTGTCCAAAATAACTATAGTATGTTTAGTGATAACCTTGATCAAAACAGAGGACGATCGTAATGTCTTCATGCCCCATTTACAACATCGAATATTGCAAAGGCAACTACATCTTTGCCTTTCTACAAGCTATGATGCAAAGAAAAAAAATGAAACAGTATACATTTGTATAATTTAGTTTTTTTAGGTACATTATTTTCCACACAACCTGCACCATGTTGCTTTTTATTTATTCGCCAAGGAGAAAATAGAAATCCCAGATGTCATAAAACCAATCATAGAATATTGTATCATAATAAGAATCCTTATCACAATGATAGCTGATAAAACAATTCCCGGTCACTGATCAACCAGTGCCATTATCCTCCAAACTACACTCCTGAAAGAAAGAGCCAGTTTCAGTCAATGTAGGTCACTTGTCCATCATAATTAATAGTATGTCAGTTTTTGTCCAGCTACAGAGAGGCTGTACACACAATTTGTGTTGCATAAAATAATTGAACTAATGAGTACTGTGAGGGGCAGCTAACAGGGTACGGGCTGTCATGTCTTGTGACAAGCACATGCAACTACATGTCCAGCACTTTTCAAGTGAGGGGGCGGTTTTGTCTCTCAGGCAAATATATCTGGACCTGCCAAACCTTTTGTTAATAGGCAATAAGCAGTTAGGATTTATTCAAACTTTGAACTATAAAAAACACAAGGAAACGATTTGCAAATTGAACTGAAACATTTAAAAGGGAGTCAAATGAAGAGTTGTAAATAAAAAAAAGTTAGTTTGGGGTTTCTGAGTTTCACAAGTTTATGTCAGGCTCACCAAGTCCCTGGACCTAGAGGGCAAAGATCATATCACAACCCCACACACAGCTTCTTACATAATACTGCAGGATTTACAATCATTCATTCCAATGTTTTCAATTAACCAACTTTATGGATTACCACCAAATTACAACTTTGACTATCATAAATCAGCCAATACATTTAGGCTGAGCTACATACCTGTCAGCAAACAAGTCTCCCATGCAGCTTGAGAAAGTCCACTGTGATTTATCAGCTGGTTTTCCACAAATATCAGGGAAGACTGCTGGCACACTTCATTCACGTGGCCAGCACCATGTACAACCATATCAAACTACATTTTGAAATTATTTTCTTTCGTCAACCCGGACAAGATCAGTTTCTTGAAATATAAAACCTGCATTTATAGTTGGATTAAGCACAGGAGTTGTTCATGACTCATGCAACGTAAATTTTTAAGTTAATGTAACTCAGGTGGCTAGTTAGCTGCGTAGTTAGCCACTACAAAGACACGTTTCGTTACACCTATTGGGTTGCATGCATAAACGTGCAGGATAAATTTTGATACTTACGCTGAAACCTCTTTCCCACGTATGATTTGAGCGGACATCTTCTGACCCTTGAAGTCTGTGCTCTGAGTTGCTGGTGGCTCCTGCACACTGTACGCCTGACAAAAAGAGGAGCGCGGAGACTGCTTCCAAAAACTAAAGTTTTTTTCTAAAAACGTTGGAAATTAATGTGGTGCGCAGGCTCCATTCAAAGGTGCAGCACTACCGCTGAAAATCAGCGTATTAACTTTTAGGAATAGCGTCTGGCACCTAGAATGTAGCCCCGCCAGTGGAGATGACAGCAGAGGGGGAGGGTCTATCTGCACACGGTCAAATCTGGGAGCCAATCATATATCTTTTTTAAAACACTAGAAGAAGCCGTTGACCAATAGCATTCCCGGATCTGCTACACCACCCACACAGGGGTAGAGGAATGGGCGGGACGCGATGGGACGTAATTACGCCAAGAATCAGCAGAGGGCAGCACTATATTTACACACCCCTTTGATTATCCGTCAAAAAGAAAAACCACAGCAGTGTTTATATGGGCCCAACTTGACGTTGTTTGGATCCATGCGAAGGTGTCATCTTCAAGACATTCATTAGAAAGTGCTAGAAAATATTATCCCCACTTATCTGGCTTTTAGTGCGATGCAAGACATGAAGAAATACGGAGAGCTATGGAGAGTAGATTCTGTGTTTTGAACGACACCGAAGACTTCCAAACGCGGATTTCAAACACTGAGAACAATCTCCACTTCGAAAGGTAAGTTGATAGCAGCTGCTTATTTGTTAAACTAGCGGGCTTTTGGGCTGTGTCTCTTCCCTGGAGGATGCCTGAACTCATCACTGCGTGGCTTGTTTTGTTACTGTAAGCTAACTCAACGTTACGTGTAGCTATTTGCATAGTGTGTGTTTACCTTTTTACCAAAACTGCCGTCTTTCAGAAGGTTCTGTGCACACATCCATCGGTGCTACAAACTAAACCTCACCCACGTTCAAACCCCCTCTGTGTAATCTTCCGCTAACTCACATGCATAACGTTTCTTTAGGTCTAAGACACTGTTTGAGGAAATCCGTGCCTCCATCAACAACAATGACGAAGAGGACCGCTCCTTCTGGAGGCCTGTGCTCCCGTGGGGTGGCGTCTTTACCATTAAGGCAGGGCGGAAGGCCATATCATGCACCCCCCTATACGTCAAAATCAACCTAAAAAACACCTGCACTATTGATGGCTTCCTCATGATCCTGTATGTGATCCTGCGGGACAACCAGGGGTTTCCCAGGGAGCTGGCCGTCTTCCTAGGCAAGCAGTTTGTGGAGTATTTCCTCTACCTGATGGACTCCTGTGATTACACCACAGTGAAGATGCTGTGGATCTGGGACAGGATGTCCAAAAGACAGTACCGCTCAGAGATCCACCAGGCTGCCCTGGAGATTGACCTGTTTGGTAATGAGCATGAGAACTTCACAGAGAACCTGGAGAACCTCATGTCCACCATGCAGGAGAGCCTGTGCACCAACTGGAGCTGTCCAGCCCGCTTCCAGGAATTCGTCAAGATCACAATCAACATCAGGTATACTGCACACAGGCAGTATAATATCCTGATGCTACAAAATGAACTTAAGGCAACTTTTCCCTGTTTTCATTCTCTCAACATTAGCAAAGATTCTGAGTCACCATCTGCTGTATTTTCTAGTATATTTCAGTTTTCTTCTGTATCGATTGTGCAAAATATCAAATAATCCTCAAATAGAGCTCAGCCTGTCCCCTGTCACTGTTGTAAATACTACCACTACAAATATTACTACATACAGTATAGTTCAGGTCTGTCAACCTTTTAAAAGTGTTTCATTTTCACCCACTGACATACTAAACTTTCATATTCTCCACCTGGGTGCATGCATTGCTGCTTTACCTACCTTTAATTGTGTTTGAAAGAGGTATTTCTCCTTTCTCTCCATTTTACCTATCACAAAGTAGGTGAAATCCTAATTAACGGAGTGTTGATTGATGGTTAACACAATTTTCATTTACTACAATTTCACTCTCACATTTTTCCTCCAGCCCTCCTCATGAGCTGCCTCACAGAGACCCTATTCAGTCGGCTGTGGACGAGTTCTTCTGCCCCAAGCTCCTACTCTGCTCAGAACTGGGGTGAGACATAGGGAAGATGTTCCTCATCCTCTAATTCAGTCCAGTCTTATTCCACTTCCTTGGCAAATTGATTATCTTTTGTGACAGGTGTGATGGTCTGAGGGAGTTCTCTCAGAGGGTCTTCTGCCATGGACCACCACCTTTTGTCATTCTCAACATGCAGCAGTGGAAGTCAGAGGAGCTGTCCTACGTTCCTTACCACCTGGCTCTCTGTCAGCATCGGTATAAAACTTGCACAGTGTGTTTCCACTGGCTCAATGTACAGTAGCATGTTTTGGCCACACTGTGGTGCAAGCCACTATCATATGAATTTCCATTCCACTTACCTGCAGGATTACAGCTTTGGCACAGAGGCATGTCTCCAGCATTTAGGAAGAGATATAAAAACAATTTAAGAGTCATAAGAGGGAGGTAAACAATAATAGTAGATGGTCATTAAATTAGATCAAAGGAAAATATTTTAGTGTTATTAAGTCTAATAGCCATGCTGCATGGTTTTCATCTACATCAAAGTACAGCTATGATGGGGTTCCTGTGTACTTGAGAGCATAAATATAATCATCCAACATGATCAGTAGGATATGAAAAGTCATAAACAGCCAACAAAGGAAACAAGGGAGACAAAACTGTGTGGAGTCTAAGCAATACAAGATGAAGGCAGGATGACTTTCTCTATATCAGTAAAGGAAAACAAAGCTAATTTTAGAAATATTACTCAGTTGAAAGACACAATATTAAAAAGAAAAAAAAAAAAAAAGGGAATTAAAGCTCTTGCTAATTATAGAATAAAATGTATTTTTATTTATTTATCCAAGCCCTGATACACCTTTGTCCCTGGACCAAAGAGAAAAAAAACATTGTTTACTCCCACTACTCTGGATTACTTCCTGGCCAGAATAATGACAAGAACTCTTTTCTTCGCAGGTATTTACTAGAGGGCGCCACACTCTTCAACAAGGAGGAGCATCACTACTCTGCAGCCTTCCAGATAGACGGCTGCTGGATGCACTATGACGGGTTGAGGAGTGACAATCTGATCCTGTTACACAAGCCACCAGAGCTCCTGCTGCTGTCCTCTCTGGTCTACATCCGCGCCTCCGACAAGTGAACTCATCAAGTGGACATACAGATGATGAGCAGGAGTCGCACGAAGCACAAGATTGAAAACATTCATCCGCCCTGCCTCTGATTGTAATGCCATGACCCCATGGATAGCATTACATTACTGCAACCATGTTCCTCTACTTATCACATTACTCAAATTTTTTATGAATTCCTGTCAGCATTTACTTCCTGTTTGCTGTGCGGGTGCTGAATGACACATGCTCCATGTCACCCGAATGCTCGCAGAAAGCTTACTGTGCAAAATGAAAATGACTTCTTTTTGGGCATGCTTGGAATCCAAGAATATAATGGACTATAATAGTTCTGGGTTGATATGCATAAATGATCATATCCGTGAATAATGCACACAGTATGCATTACCTTCCACACAGAGGAGACTGATATGATTTCAAAAATGGCATGGTTGTTAGATGGATTACACTTTGAGGTGCATTTTCTGATGACATTGACTGTATCCATTTAACTTTACATTTATGCATATCAGCCCTTTCCTAAAATTGAATTGGTGCTTTTTTTCTATGTACATTGTTGTGTGAGGGTAGAGAGGGAGGAACCAAACATGTCAGGTCAACTTGTTTTTTTCTTACCATGTTCAAATGAGTGAATGTTAAAATACAAATTTCTTAAATCATATAAATGTTGAGAATTGAAATATTACCTGTTTGGCTTCCAGGCCACTAAGCTGGCAACATGATGAATTGAATTCAAGCATTTTAACACTATCTCAGCACACACTGCAGTCTCCAACACAGAAAATACGTACATTTTCATGTTATCTTACTTTGTAATTTTCAAAGATTTACTGGTATCACACAGTGCCTCTGCCAAGGAAAGTTTGTATATGTGAATCCTGTTGAGCATAAATCCTTAATCAAAGTTCGTTTTTGATGGCTGTTTTTCTATGCAGACACAGTCTTTAAAATGCAAATACAAATATTTTTGGCATACACGTGTATTGATTTATTTTGTTGCATGTATGAATAGCATGGGTGGATATAACAAGAGCCACATAAAAGCAGACTACCTTTTAAGGCAGGCATTTATTTTAAACTGGGTACAACTGCACCACACAAACAGACTAAAATGTATGTAAAATGTCTTCAATCAAAACATGATCAAATGTGAAAAGCTACTGTTTCTACACCTAAGGTTATCTTGTACTTCCAGTATTAATCCACAGGATATAAAATTCAAGATCATCACCTTACTCCAGACACACGATGGGAAATGTAAAAGAAGCAGAGTGGTCATTTGGCTAACATTGACATCAGTTTCAAAGGATTTTTCTTTCAGACACAAACATTAGAGTGGCAGGCCATTGCAGACCAGGTGTTAGTCGTCCATCTGCTCTCTTTGAACAAGCACTTTGGTGAGAGTGGTGGCAAAAGCATGACATTGGTTAGGCCATAATAAAAATGCGTACAAACTCAATGTTAACATCCCTTCCTTTTGCAGATTCACGTTTGCAGATTTTCATCAGCCTCTCGCCAAAACTCAGTAAAGAAAGAAGTAGTTAGTATACATCTCAGAAATCATGACATTATACATGACATTGATACTAGATGAATCATGGCGGCAGCACATAATTACGCCTGCGTGATTTGTGCTGTGGCTATGGTAAAGTGACTTCACAAAATCTATTACAATAGACAGAAAACAGAAATCAGGTTACAGAAACAAACAGTACAAATTATAAATACAAAAAAAAAAACTCATTCACATCTTTCTAAAATAAAATGACATTTGCAGGAATACAGATTGGGTTGCTTATGTGTTACCCTTTCAAAACAAACCAGAAATCCAAAGGAAAGTACTCTATATGGTGATGCAAACAATCGGCAACAAACTAAAAGTTTCACCAGTGACACCCTGACCCAGATGCAAGGCAAATGTCATTAAAGTTCTCATCTAACACATCAGGTTTAGAGTACAAGAGCAAAGTGGAAGAGCACGTCCTGTCTAGTGTTTACAAGACTTCTATGTGGTGAAAAGCGTCAGAATTTGTTTTAAAAAGGTGTACAAATCAATTTGGCCACTAACAAATAAAATTGTGAGCCATCTAATAGAATCTGCCTAGATAAATATATGCCTTGAAAAAATGAACCCGCATGCACAACGAAAATGACAACACAAGATGTCTGGTAGGATGAGGCAAAGTCAGTGGTACCATTTGATGTTTCATTAGACATCCACATTACCAGCCAACAGCGTGAATCAACAGACATGCCATGTGGGGTTCTGTTACAGCAATATGAAATGCCTTGGCTTTTTAAAGACACAAACACAAAACATAATTCTTCCACACAGGGAACAGAAGTCTTATTGCATTACCTAAATGCCATTAGCCTAAATTAAAACATATGTACAAATTACACAATGTATCAAATAGTTTGGTAAGTGCAATGCAGAGCTTGGTTAAAGTTTCCACGTCTGTGCAAACATAAGTGCACAAAGCAACTCAAACTAGACTTGAACATGAACAGTGACTCAACAAGACACACCGCACCTAGCCTTCTCCTAGTTTAGTGCCCCCTCTATTGCTGTGCATTGCTTGACCTGTCTGTCAGTCAAGCCCAAGTCTGCACAGAGTGTCACCCTCAGCCAGCCTGGGGTCAAACACACCCAGGGGAGCACTCAGAGACTGCTAGTCTGGTTTCTCTCCCAGGACACAGGACTGGTGACAGTTGACAACTTGGCCTGAGTTGGCTAGTACAGCCCTTGGTGCTTTATCATCCACCTCCATATGACAGTATGGAAGAATACAATGCTAATACATTAGCAATAAGGACGAGAAGAAAGTGTTTCAATTGTGGCACACGAGGGACAGTTTCTAGTGTTACGGGTGGGACGAAGGGGAAAAAAAAAAGGTCCATGTGTTGGCACTTTACATGAAGCTGTGAACAAATTACTTCAAACCTGAATTTGCAAGCAAGACCTTGGCCACATGAGGATCACGTTTGGTGGCGGGTTGGCGAGCGCAAAGACCAGGTGTCAGACCCAATCATAGGCAGAAGAGTCTTGTTCGTAGTTAAGAGAGTGACATTGTACTGGAAACAGGCACTGAGACAATGGCAAAGCATGCTCATATCCTGCACCAGGGACGTTGTGAAGTAAAAAAAACGTGAACCTTATCTTAAATACTAGGAATAAAAAAAAAAAAAAAAAATCAAACATAGTGCCAATTGTTTTTTAGAGTTTTAGGAAATTATGAGGACAGAAGTTTGTGGTTGTTCAACCACAGGCTTCCCTTTCAGTAAGACTTTATATTTTATTGCATGGTTGGGGGCAACTTAGATTTTACGCATCTAAATGCACATAAATCAAATGATGAACCATCTAACGCAGTAATGTAGCAGAGGCCGAACAGAGGTTGACCTAAATGTGTGAGGCAACACAGACAAACAGCTGAATCCTGAATCCTAAATATAGCACCAGTTGGTATTGTGTACAGACCAAAGGGTGAAAAGAGGGCCAAGGTCGATTTCAACTATTGTGAAGAGTAGCAAGTGCATGACCTGACCTTAGGAAGATGTAACAGAAGCTAGAACATTGCGATTTTTTAAATGGCTCCAAGGATGAAGCAGAGACTAGTGGCAAACGCTCTCAAGAGAATTCATCATTCATCTCTACATTGACCCTTGGAATTGAACTACACACATTCGCTCACACACTAGTGACCCAGTGCAGAAAAAACATTTACAGGCAATGCACTAGAGGATATATTCATATCTATATATTTCATTTAGACCATTTACAAGAGAGAAAAAGGCAGCCCTTTTTGAGAAAATATAAAGATTCCAACTTTTCTCTGTTTTGTGAAGCACTGATTTTGACGCAGAACTCCTGTGTCGCCGAGCCCGAGCATCAGTTCTGCACGCAAACACGTAACAAAACAAACAATCCTATCTGACATGCACGTACCCCTTGAGCATACACACAGACATACACACTACATGGCCAACAACCACATATTCATACAAATACACAAGCAAACTGCGGTGTTCTACAAAATTTTGAACACATGGTTCCGGTTGCAGCAGGGAAATTAAAAAAAGGTTTAAGTGTTAAACATAATTAATGGCATGAAAGAAAACAAAACAAATATCTGCTAACATAACAGAGAGTTTTGAAATAAAAGTGACAAGATTTCTCCCACAATCCTCTGGGAAATGGCTCAGAGTCCTCATTGTGGTCCAGCAGCAGTAGAGCGGTCGTCTCCTTGTGCCCGTGACAACAGACGTCCAATCATCTTCCTTTCTTCTCCGCACAACTTTGTAGCTCTTCATCTCTGCAGCCATGTCTGTAATCCCCCTCTAGCCAGCCAGCTAGCCCGGCACATCCATCCACCCAGCAGGCTCTCTCTCCTCTGGTGTTCCCGTTGGTGTGCAGCGCTCCTCTGCACCTGGAGGATGAATGTGGGGAAGGAGGAGGAGACAACAAAAAAGAAAAGTCTTTGTGTCTAAGTTCTCTTATTGGGTCCTAGCTGGCTGGGCCATGGGTCAAAGGGCAGTCAGACCAAAGTTACAACGGCAATACATCATGCCGCTCGAGTCCAACCAGCTGTCTGAGATGGGGTCATAGCGCTGGACAGTGTTCAGGTAGGACGAACCAGAGTGACCTCCCACCACATAGAGGTAGTTGTCCACGATGGCAGAACCCACACCTGCAAGATAATGACATCAGTCACAGGCATCACTCGCCATTTTCTGGATGCAATAATCACAATAGGTTAAAAAATGATCTACAATGTATCCTACAAAGAGGGGGTTTAATTAAATTACAAATTTTACAAGTACGACATAAACTCACCTGTGCGTGGTTCGTTCATTGGCCGACAGGCTGTCCACTGATTCTGGTGTGGATCATACCTCTCAATGCTGGACAGGTGCGACACTCCATTGTGTCCACCCACCACAAATATGAAGCCGAGCATGACGCCCACTCCAAAGTTGATCCTCTTATCTGCCATGGGAGCTACCATTTCCCAGGCATCCTTGCTGGGGTCGTACCGCTCCACGCTGTGCAAAACAGACGCAGCAACATTAACAAAAAGTCTGCATGGTTTAAAAAAGGGTCAGTTCACCCAAATAACAAATACCACTGACAGCTAGCGGTAGCAAGCCGTGCAGGCAGTTTTGGTTTTATGTCCCTTGTTTTTGAAGTGTGTGATTCTGAAGTTTTTCTGGCAACACCCCTTATGACTCTTATTATGACTCTAATGTGCCTTGAACACACCAACAAGAGTTTTCAAACAGTCCCTACTCACAGCTGCATTACCACATGGCAAAGACACAGGCCATTAAATCATATAACGTTTCAATTTTTTAACACTAAGTGTATGTGCTTTGCATACCAGTATTATTATGTGTCATGAACCTGCATACATCAGATAAGAAACTGTTAACCTGTTAACCATTAACTTTAACTGTAAAGATATTTGTTGCTAATTAAATGTTATTCAGTCCAAATGTAAACTGATATATTTCACAGCTTCCTGCAATTCCTCAACAGATCCCCGATTTAATGCTGTAACAACTACTTATCAGTCAAGTTTCTAGTCTCTACAAGCAAAAACTGAAAGTATACTGAAACAACAGCTGTCTGGAAAACATAAAAGCATGTGGAATACTTCAGAAAATTGTCAGATATATATACATACATGTATAAAACTCTTTGTACACAAGATAGGTTTCAGGAGTAGGAAGCCTGTGTTACATGCACATTTAATTCAGCACTATAGTACATAAAACTATATTTAAGAGTTATGTCAAGCCACACACACACACACACACACACACACACACACACACACACACACACACACACACACACACACACACACACACACACACACACACACACACACACACACACACAATCTGGGATTGTTTTGCGGTGTG